GGCCGCGTGAGCCATCTGTGGCTGACTCTACTATACACTATAGACTTTCCGTCTAGGCGCGTCAGCCATCTGTGGCTGACACAGACTTTCGTTAGGCCGCGTGAGCCATGTGGCTGACTCTAGACTTTCGTTTGGCCGCGTCAGTCATTGTGGCTGACACTAGACTTTCCGTTGGCCGCGTTAGCCATCTGTGGCTGACTCTAGACTTTCCGTTTAAGCCGCGTCAGCATCTGTTGCTGACACTATAGACTTCGTTTAGGCCGCGTCATCATCTGTGACACTGCTTTCCGTTTAGGCCGCGTCGTCATCTGACATAGAAGCGCGTCACCGCCGCTGGGCTGACAGCGTGAACATGATACATAACTTACAATTTCACTGTTTTATGGAATTACAGAAAAATTATTAAATTTACTTCATTTTGATTCATTACAGGACTAATGGTTTCATTGAAACACGGTAAGTATAAAAAACGGTTCTCCTTACAATACTACAAATTGTGACAACTGTCTTAGCCTTTTTGGCCATTACTCTGCCAGCTTCAGTTGCATTTTTTTCAAACATAATTTACAATTTTATTACTCCAGAGGCTTTTTCCGGTTTCTTTGGAGTTATGCTGTCGCTTTTTAGATATTCTTGCATTTCTGTTCGAGGAATATCTTCTTTTTCACAACTTGTAAGGGATACACAATTCTTTCGGACTTCAGTAATGCTAATTTCTGCTTCGTAAATTTTTGCATAGAATGTAACTATTTACAAAACAGACTTTGGGCGTAACGTATTGAATGAATGCCTATAGGAATCACGTTCCAAACGTTAACTATCTTCTACTGCGATAAGAATCGCTGGCCCTACAATATCAGCGCTTTTAAGCGGCGTGCGTGGCTTGAACCGGATTGCCTAAGAAATACGCTTGGCGGTCAGTGTGAGAACGGTGTAATTTGAGAAAACATGCCAGGTGAAACTTTCTCTCCCTTCGGGGTGTAACGCTTAGCACACTCGGCACGTACGTGAGAGGCCCAGAGTCCTGGAGAGGGCACTGTTCATTTTTCACGTGTCCTGCTTCAAAATAACCTAATGACTCTACAGTGGCGCCCGAACTAAAAAGTAGTTGATGATAATTCTCCATCACCAGGATTTGAGGATTGGGTACCCTAATTCCCCAGTCGCCCTTTAAAAAAGGAAGTATCTAGGATATTTTCTCCCTCCCTTCAGCATGCCTTCGGGATGTAACGGTAGCACACTCGGCGCGTATTCGAGAGGTCGAGGCTCGACTCCTGGCGAGAACATTGCTCATTTTTCATGTCTTCAAAAAATCCTAATGGCTCTACAAGTGTTTCCAAACTTTATAGAGACATTAGGTATTTTTTTGGAAGCAGGAGTTATGAAAAATGAGCAATGCCTTCACCGGGAATCGAACCACGTACCACTGGCATACGCGTCCAGCGTGCAGACCACCACACCACGAAGGCATGCCATGAAAGTGGGAGAAATAGCTTATGTACTCCTCCTTTTAAAGGGCGACTGGGGTTTTTAGGGGACCCAGTCGCCAAATCCTGCGTGTGGAGAATCATCATCCACCACCCTTTTAGTTCGGGCGCCACCTGTAGAGATATTAGCTCTTTTTCTTTGGAAGCAGGAGTCCGGAAAAATTAGCAACGTCCTCGCCGGGAATCGAACCACGGACCTCTGGAATACGCACCCAGCATGCAGACCACTACACTACAAAGGCATGCCAAGAAGGAGAGAGAAATACCTTATAACTTCATGACCCATTTGAATGTATATGCGTTTTGTCTCCACATACATGCATGTAGTTTCTGTAGGATAGGTGACAGGTGATAGCAGGGCTGGACACCCGGACGGCTTTCTTAGACTATTCGGGTTTTTTTCCGAAACCTGCAACTATTCTACTGTATGAGCATACAAAGCTGATCACTAGAACAAATATATATTGGCCGTTTTATAATTCTATATTATGAGCATTTCTTTTTATATGTCTTCGGTGCCTTATATTAGGCAGTAAATAGACTGGACCCAACTGAGAAGCCTCCATATTAGGCCGGAGGTGGGTCGTCCAGTTTAAAGTTCTGAAGAGTTAATAACAATCAAGCTACCGCCCCAGGGCGTTCAAATTCAAGGCAGGAGACTTCAAAGAGTTTCGCTTTAGCTACTGCTGAATTTTCCAACCAGGATCACCACTGCCGGCTTTCGGAGACCACAGTGGTGGGAACATTGAAAATCTGGAAGTTTGTCGAGGACCAGTCTCCTGTGAACCAACTGCATAAAATGGAGTACAGACTTATATTTTTTCTCACCAGAGTTTCCTCCACAACCTTTGATAAGCCAAGCGCCTGATGGAGTACAGAGTTATTTACCTCTACCCTCACGAGTTAAGTGCCTTCTCCAACCCCCCTTGGTCCAATCGCATGAAACGATTTTTGTTTGGGTTCTGGAACTGCCGAGATAAGCACTTACAAACGCGATGAGTGCCACATAATCGTTTAAACAAAAATACAGAATAACATAATTACACAAAATGTATTAAACAAACAAATAAATATAAGCAATACAGAAAATAGAAATAAAAAAATTCTGAAAGCCTTTTTCAGATTTTATATTACGCCCAAAGGGGCTTTTTTTTAACGTTTTGTATGTTACCTTTATTTATTAAATATCATCTTCTTTTGAACTTAAACCATAAAACTCAGTTCAACAGCAATATTGCAAAATAATTTAAAAAGCACATATCTTTAGAATTTTTGATATACAGTCTCGCGCGCTGGAGATAAAAATGCTTTTTTTTTTTTTCGTACAATGTTGCCATTGCTCGCTTTGAAATCCTCGAGTTTGTTAATCCAGAATTCGTTAAAATTTTACAAGATATGAAATAGATAATAACGAATTTTAAATTCTAAATTTGGGCTTCTAGACGTCTATATTCGAGTGGAGGACTATCTTATTCCAAATTGGATGTCTGTAGGTACCGTTGTTTTTTCGCAGTGCAAGAAACGTATATACGTCCGTGCATATTCTTTAGTATTTATTTTTTGGGGGGGGGCTGTATACCTTCGAACACTTTTTTTTTTAAATTTTTAAGTTTGTGCATTTAATTTTGGCTTGAAAGTAATTGAGGATGAAAAAAACGAAGAAGCTGAGTTATTTAATAACCATTAATTTTGTATTTTTGGATTAAAGTAAAAAACAAGCAAAAAACAGCAATATTTACAATAAATTGGAAATACTCTGTTAAAAAAGTATAATATATTTTCATATTTTGTAAACTGCAAACCCATCAGAATGATATTCTCAAGGAGGTAGACTATTATTTTAAAGCTAGTAAGTTATTTAAAAATTTTTTAAGCTAGAATGTGTAATATAGCAAAGAAAATGTATGCATTTTCTCATTAAAATTTATGTTTAACACATAATAACTTTATAAAAAATGCATTTATCAATTAGTAAATAGTCTATCTCCTTACATGAATTGTTATAAACGTGTATACCGATGTGCACCAGATTTTAATCATAAATTTTAGAGATATTGTGTTTCATGTTAGCATTAAAACACGAAAAATGAAAAACGAGATAAAAGAATTCAAACACTCGATTTACCTTACTTTTAATCATTTTTTAAATTTAAAATTCCGCTGATTTATAAATAATGCCCTCTTGTTTTTCAGAATATATGTTTTTTTGCTATCTATGAACTTCTAAAATTTTTGTCTGCTTTTTAAAGCCAAATCAGGAATGTCGTTTTGCATTGTCGATAGTCTTAACATCAAAACTTTCATACTCGTTTGCAGTGTAGTAACCAATATCTATACCTAATTTACCATACCTATACCTAATTTATATTAATATCTATCTATACCTATAAATATTAATGAATATTACTCAGTAATAAATAAATAAAGCGCTTATCAACAATGTAAACACAGAATCAAAACACGAGCGAAAATGCGTTAGCGAATTCATAACACACAGCTTGAAAATGTGCTGGAATTTTGTTTTGTTGCCATCATAAAAATACTTTTTGGTCTTTAAAATGCAATTAGATAAAGTTTTAAGCCCCATAAATAAAAGTAAACAGCTCTAACACACACACTTCGCCCTTTTAAATATTTACGTCTTGTGCACTTCTGGTATGCTTTTCGAGGACAAGGTACTCAAATAAAGTATCATAACTTTGGTTTAAATCAACGTAGGAACAGAATTCAAACAGTTTTGGAAACATAAGAAATAAGACTTTCATCGAGCGTAAGAAACAAAAAAGGAGTTTTTTGACCAAAATCTCGGTTTTTAAGGTATTCAGCCTTCTTAAATATAACACAGGGCCGTAACATTTGGTGGCAACAGTTTGAAAAGTGAAATGGTGTTTATAGGAATCAACGCAAAATGCCAAAACGAAATTATTAACCCTTTTGGGCAAACTGATCTTTGTGCTAATAAAGTAAAATAAACATAAATATTTACATAAATTCACAACATTATGCCAAACCTGTGTTTGTGTGCTTTTGTGATATCATAAAGAATAAAACTGTTTCAGATAATGTGATTAAAACTAGTAATTGTTAAGAAGTGCTACTAAATATTTGTGTTTTTGTGTCTATCTTGAACAGAATAGCTCAAAGTGGGAGAGTTATATCTATAGGAATTTCGAATTTTGCTTTGATTAAAGGCGGCGTTGCGTTTAATTACGATATTCCCCCCTGTGTTTAAGAATTATGAGAACTATTAGTGGGAGAATAAATGCGAATTATTCAGTGTGAAAACTGAAAAATATTATACAGAAAAAATGCATTGTAATTTTTGCGTTAAAAAATGTAAACTTTACACGAGGGTATACGGTAATTACTAGATTTAATTGAAAGTGGTTCCACTAAGACATGTTATAAAAATAAAATATTAATTAGAAATGTGAAAGTATGTTTAAAACTAAGAAAATACTATATTATTACCGTGTTTTATAAATTGTGACGTACTTTTGCTTGCTTTTTCAGTATTCTTTAAAGATTTGTGACAATGGAGGTGCCCCTGAAAGTCTTGCTTCTCTGCATAGCCTTTAGCCTCGTCACAATTAGCAAGGTAAGGTTTTTATCGAATTTATTATCAAAACTATCTTAGTATTTAAAAGAAATGGGACATTAAGATAAGATAAAATGATTTTTACTATTAGTTCTTGATCACAATGGTTTCCAGGCATTTCTGAAGAAAACTTTACACTGAAGTATTTTACTTTTCAATGATATTTATAATATACTTTAGTCAAATACTTCTGGCAATATTGCTACAGCCTCAAACGACACGAAGAAAAGAAATGCGGTGCGGTGGCGCTGATATCAGTTACGATCACAAATGAGCAGTTTGTGATCCGCGTCTTTGAAGTTCCTGTTTTAAAGTAAAGAACTATAGTAAAGCACAGATAGGTTTACATACATATTCTTTATAAATCCCTTTATATTATTGATTGCGAAAGCACGGCTAAAGCAATTTTTAACTACACTCACGTTTGTGAAAATTGCAACACCAAGAAGGACTCGTCATAATTGAATGCAATTTAATACACAGTTGAGTGGTAGTGGTACAAATAAATGATTAATGTTCAAAAGCAAACAAACAAGAACAAGAGATCAGAATAGTATTTTGTGTGGCCACCACGCGCCGCAATAAGTGCTGCTACACGAAGTGGATGGGAGTCAAACAAAGTTTGAATGTCTGACTGAGGAAGAGCATTCCATAGCGTTGTACGCGACCCAAAGTCGTCTGCAGACGCAAAGGACGAGGATCCGAGCAAGACGCGACCAATGACATCCCACACATGTTCAATTGGCGACATATCCGGGGAACACGCAGGCAAGGAAAGAGCGTACCTGCTGCGCTGCAAAGAAGGATTTACAACCGAGCAGTTGGGCGGGCATTGTCCTGTTGAAATACAGCGCCTGGCAAGCGTTTGAAGGAAGGGAACAGCTTCGGGCTGTAGAACTTCACGGATATACCGGTTTGCTGTTCAGATTGCCCACAATTCGTAGCAATTGAGATCGTCTATGATATGCTTAGGCGCCCCAGACCATAACTCCGGGTGTTCGTCCACTGTGGCGTTCGATAATGCACTCCGGAAGGTGGCGTTCACCGGCATAGCGTCTGACACGAATGCGGCCATCATGGTACCACAAAATTAAAGCGGGATTCGTCAGAAACACGACATGCTGCCAATCAGCACGCCAGTCTCTATGCTGATTGGCCCATTGTCGCCGCAGGCGGCGATGGTCGTGCGTTAGGGGGATCCTGATAAAGGAGTCCGTGCGCGCAGTCCACACGCAGCAGACGTCTACGAATTGATGAAGCACACAATGAAACACCTGTAGCTATTGACCACAGTGCTGCCAATTGTCTAGAGGAAGCTGTACGGTCCGTCCGCGCCATGCGGACCAGGTGTCTATCATCGCGAGCTGACGTCATTTCGGGGTCCACTCCCGATTTCCGAGTTGTCCGACACTCTCCGTCCACTGCTTCCAAACGCGCATCACTGTGCTGCTGTTACGCTGCACACGAGAGGCTACTGCACGATACGACAATCCAGCTTCACGAAGGCGATGATTCTCCCTCGTTCAAACTCTGTAAGTTGTTCAATCTCGCTCTCTTCGTCGACGAGGCCTAAGTACAGATTGAGTTAACGTTTACCACTAGCAGATAACCACCGATAACCATACACGCCTCGCTACAGCCGTTATTTTTCGGACCATCAGCCGTTTCAGAGGGCGCTGCTCAGCATACGCATGCGCTACGGATTTTGCAATTCTAACACTTGCATATCATGCGCTACTTTGCATTTCCTGAAAATTTCAGCTCACTCGCGTAAGTCCTTCAAGGTGTTGCAATTTTCACAAACGTGAGTGTATATATGCCAAATTTCAAAACGCGCCAATATGTAAATTTACGTATATCTTAGGAAATTTTGAATAAAAAAACTCTAATTTTTTGTAGACATGCTTAGAAATCCATCTACTTTAAGACGATGATAAAAATTTACAGGTTCAAAATTTCAATTCAAAATTTTTTTCGGAAAATTTATAAAAGTTATTTAAAAACGCAAATTAAAACAAAAATGATAAAAAAATTGGGGGAATTTTATTTGGAATGAACCTAAATTTCGAAATGTGAAAGGAAGAATCAAAAAAGCTTAATATAAAATGATATATTAATAAATATATACCAAATTAAATTAACACGGAGGAGCTAAAATTTTGTGAGCTAATTTTTTAAAATCTGTAAAAAAACGATTTTTACAAAACTTGGCAATCTGGCATAATTTGAGTCGTAGAATCGGAATATGGGAAACAATTGGCATGTCATTTCAAAAAAGTCCGATTTCGTGTCAAAATACCTATATTAGAACAACCGCTATGTATAAATCTAATATATATAGTTCTGAGTCGTGCTTTCGAGACATGAAAAACGCAAGTTGAATTTCATTAATCGGCGTAGTAGAACGAGAGATATAGAACTTGTTCCCCCTTTTTTTCGCGCAGTGTACCTTCAGTGTCATGTGCATAGAAAGTGACAAACTACGCTATTTATCATTTGATTATGTTATCAGTGATTTTGGTCTGGCAAAGGCAAGAAATAATATCTTTTATTTTAATATAATTCCTTAATCCTTGCAATATGTTTCAAGAGATCAGATAATAAAGCTTTACTAAATTGTGGCTTTTAAAAGAACCTTTGTTTCCTTTTATCAGAGTTTAAAGTTTGAAGTTTTTTTTATGAATAAAACTGATTTTAAGTTAAAGATTTATTATTTAACTATCTATATACTTCCTAATTGTATTTCTTTCAATGTAACCCTCTAGGTATCCAAAAATCATATTTGTTACCGACATATAATATCTGGACTTTTAAAGGGCCCCATATCTCAAATAACTTAGGACCTTATCAAGTCTAAATCCGGCCCCGATTTAGACTTGATAAGGTCCTAAGTTATTTGAGATATGGGATTAAATTTTCCGAAAGATATATATGTGGGTAGTGGAAATGAGTCCACATTTTTTTCCCAGAGTTTGAAATAGATTGTCAACAGAATGGATGGAATTTCCATTGGTTTAAGATCAAGTATTCTTCTCTCGAAAAATGTACTGGCTAACGATGAAGCTAGCTGCAAGCTTTTTTAAATTGAATTTTCGGAGTTTTTTGGATATTACCTGCAGTATAGGCGTTTCGTTTACGCACAAGCGACTCATAATTGCCTGAAAGTTCATAAATGAATGAAATTCCAGCAATATTTTAAGAAGTTCTCTTTGAAATGAGAATGAGCTGGCAGACTTTATTCTTTCGTCCACCGAAAAGCAGTTTCAGCGTAACCCAATTACCCACAGAACAAAGTCAAGAATTCTCGCACCTGAAAAGGAGAGAGAAAGAGAGAGAGAGAGAGAGAGAAAAGGAGTGAAAAAATAAAGAATAACTTTAATGAGTCTCACAGAGTTAACAAAGTTCTGCGTTAAGAATGGGCGCAGAATGACTTCTGGTAGATGGTGGAAGACGTACCTAAAAAAGCTGCCCAGCCTTCGTCGCAGTTAGCCGCGAAATATAATGACTTTTTCTTTCGCGAGAAACGCCTAATTGTGTTTCGCACTCTTTGTCGAGGTGGTACTTAGACGAGAACCCGGATGGAAGCGTTTCTTTTATTTTTAGGAGTTTTGCTCTCGCTCTCTTAGACACACAAAAAACGTTGGAACTGCGGTGTTTCTTGATAACATGTTGACAGGTACAAAAGCAGTTGTCTGGGAATTGTTACTGCCTTTCTTAAAAAAGAAAGAACAAAAAAGCGACAATTGCACAGAGTAAAGCGAGTAATGCAATGGATGGAACGCTCTCCTTCTTTGTGCTCTTTAGCCATGAAATTGATTTACGTCTGCTGTCATTAGAGATCAGAATGTGATGGAAGATCTCGAACTGAACTGGACTGTAATGGAAGCAACTGGCAAAAATTGAGTGAAGGTAGTGAAGGAAGCCGTTTCTATATATACATAAATGATGTAATTATACGAATCTTTTTGGAGAATCTTGCTGATGCTACCTTTAACTCTTTGAGGGGCAAGAAAAGGCAATTAACTTTTTCGGCAAAACTCTTGCTTTATTTACCATAGCAGATATTACAATGAAATTATTTGCGGCAATTACACATATACCCAAGACGCGTGAACAAAATGACCACTTGTGGTGGTTAATGTCAGTGACCACCACAGAACACATCCCTACAAATGTCTATGGTAGTCATCGTAACAGTTTTTCTTTTTCAAGTAGAGTGCAACTTTGCATGTGCTGCCTTCTCACACTGTTCTTATAGGCTTTTTCTTGGTGCTGTCGTCGTGATGTTGTCTTCGATGGCTGATGCTTATTTTCTTGAAGACGAATGGCGTTTTTGATGACGTTTATTGATTGGCTTATGTTTCTTGATTGCCATCTAGTGAGCTACAAGAGAACTTCAGAAACGGTCACTCACAAGAATGAGTAAGACTTTCAATAGGTTATAGGTGCTTTACTGTAGGTAACCACCGCCCTTCAAAGAGTTAAGTTACTAAAAAGAGAATCGTGATGTTTTCGGTACGTGCAAAATTTTCTTCCGTTTTATAGATGCAAATGGAATGGTTCCTGTCACAGGTAACATTAAATGACTGGAATTGGGCCATCAAAGAGTAGGGCAAGCGATCATATAAATGCACCAGTTCGTTAGATTCATTCGTGTTTAAATTAGTAAACGACAGCAAGAATACCAGATATTGTTTATTATGCGAGCTGGATAAAAGCAACATTACAGCCCCGCAGCCATAGATTTTGTCAAGTGCGTGACGAGGTGCATTTGACAACAATACATATCGCCATTGATTCAAGAATCCTAAAATAGTATATACATTCAAGGTGAATCTAAACAATTGGGGGAAACTTTAGGAGGTGCTAGAGTGCAGCTATACGTAGAATATTCTACATAGAATGTATGGCCGGAACGCAAGCGGTGAGAAGTTAAAGGGGTAGATTTCTAGTGTCACATTTAAAGAATGAACACAAGATGAGAGGAGATACTTCAGAAA